ATATATATATATATATATATATATATATATATATATGATAATCTAATATTATTATACCTACTTTTTTCTTGGCTTCAACTTTTCTTGCCCACATAGTTTGTTCCAAAGATCATTAATATTTGCAGCTTCCCATGCTTTACGTACAACACGAGTGGATCCAGTATATGGGAAACGTATACGGAATTTAGTTAAATGAAGATCATTTAATCTCATTTCACAACGTGGAACATTTGAAGAAGGTCCATCAACTAAAACCTAAAAAAAAATTAATATTTAATATAAAATACTACTATTTCTTTAATATGTAATTATTAAGTATTTTAATTATATCAGTGAAAGTATGCTGACATCAATTATATCTCAGCCGGCAATTCCTATCAAGATACTGGATCATCATTAATATATTATTATATATAACTTATATTTATAATTTATATTAAATAATCCTTAATTTAATATTTAATAAAAAATATAATATATTTATAAAATTTTATTTTACCCGATTTTGATCGATGATGTCTACAATGGCAACAAGTTTACCTTTGTGCGGCCCATCGCTCACATAAGCAATACGACCAGATTCTACGAACCTTTGAAATGGCTATTTAACAAAAAAAAATCCAATTATTTTTGTAATAACAAAGAATTATATCATAATTATAAATAATTTAATTATTAATTTAATATATATGATTTACAATACATACCATGTGGTTGAAAAATATGAAAAATACAAGGTTATATTGAATAATTTTTATATTTCTTATACATTTTCAAAAATAAATAAATATAAATTAAACTATAAAATATATAAAAACAATTTTTTTAAGATGATAAATTCATAATACTATAAATATTATGAATAATATCAATAAATTTAAAACTACGCTATACTTACCATGGTTTACCGGAAGCAAAAGACCAATATTATCTACAACCGGATAAAGCATTGTTAATACCAACTGATAAAATGATAATTTTTCTACTCAAAAATTCCCTACAATACATTATATACAATTTAAAAATAAATACATAAGTATTAATTTATTTTGTATTAATTTAAGAAGTAATAAAAAATATATATATATTATATACAAATTATTAATTATATATTAAATAATTCATTTAATATATCATATATCATTAAGCTCGATGCAAGAAATGATAAATTGTTACAAACTGTTCATTTAAATTGGACTTAATATTTAGATATTTAAAAAAAAAGAATATTTATACAGAGCTTGATATTTAGATGTAAAAAAATATTTTTATATATGATATTTTATAATATTTAATTAAATATATATATATAATTTCTAATTTTATTATTTTAAATCGAAGATTGCAAAATAAAATTTCTGATTTTAATATTAATATTTTAATTTGTATGATACAAAACTTGATATAAGACTTTGAAAGGTATTAAATCTATTATACACATCGTTTGTGGTATAACTGTTGAAAATATTTATGTGAAATAAATATTTTTTATTAAAACATCTTCTAATTGTATCTAAATACATAAAAATATAAAAATATGGCTTTAACGAATATAGATTATACAAATTATACAACAAAATTTGATTATATAGTAGAAAAATTACTCGTTTTAACAAAGAATTATGAAATAAAATTAATTAACAATTATCTTTGTGTTCTTAATAATCTTGATTATCGTTATTTAACAAATTTAAATAATGATGTAAGTTTAATCATGTAATATAATAAACAAATAATTTGTTTTATTTTAATTGAAACATAATACAAAATTTATATATTTATGTATATATAAATAAATATATATATATTTATGTATATATTGTAATAATGTTTTAGGGAGTGCAATTACTAATTAAACAATTATGTAATATCGTTACATTTGCAGAAACAACTTTGATTCAAAGTTTTTGCAGATTTTTAATTAATATAATTCAAAACAATATTAATTTTCAAGAACAAATATTTACACATTGTAAACAGTGGTTTATAGAAGTTTTCAAATTTGCTTTACCTATTACACATAATGAAATTCTTTTAGCTTTAAAAAGTTTTTTAATGAATAAGCAATTTAACGATATTGATGTAAGTATATATTTTTTAAAAAATATAATATTTTATTAATTATTATGAATATTATTATGAATATATAATATTTAAAATATTTAATGTAAAAATATGTATTTATAGTATTTGAAATTGTTGATTGAAGATAATCAATTATTAAAAAAATATTTAAATTCATCTGATGCACAATGGAATGAAACTCATTATTATGCAATTAATTGTTTAGAAGGAATTTTGATGAATGACAATGGTATTTTTATAACAAAAGAGTTAATATATACCATTAAAAATATTACATTAAATATTATTTCTTCTTTGTATATAAATGATAATAAATATTATCATACCAAAGTAAGTAATAGATATAAAACAAAAATTAAATTTTATGATGTTGATTACAAATTAAATTTATAGATATTATGTTCATGTTTACATATTCTGCAAATGATAACAGTTAATGAAGTATTACCACATTCTATTGACTTTATGGGTGAAATTTTGGGAGTTGTGCAAGCATTTTTATTTTATGGTCTTAAAGATTATTCTCCTTTAAAACCACAATTACTTCGTCCAGCAGTAATGAATCTTCCAGAACGAATTCATGTAATTCCTAAATGTAAAAATTTAAAAAATCATAAAGCAAAATTAAGAAAACAACCTACTAAAAAAGTTGTTACAGAAGTAAAAAATAACATTGTATTAGAATGCAAAGGAATTAACATATATTCAAGTGATTCAGATACTTCAGATACAGAAAATAGTAATTCTGTTATTATGGATTCTAAAATAAGATTAGAAACTATACGTTTACTTCAAATACTTATTGAAAATTCACCAAGTCGTGAAATATTTGGATTTTGGCCACAAATTATTGCTACTGGATCACGCAATGATGCTAGAGTATTGACTAGAAGTATTTTAAAAGAATCTGTATCTAAAGTGAAACAGCACATGTTAAGTACATTAACAGAATTATTGATTGATGTTAAACCTTTTTTAATATATGCAGAAGAAGTTAATCAAATGTCTTTTATTACTTTTTTTGGTACAGTTTGTCTAATGATTAAAGAATTGCATTTTACTTTATCTTTGATTTTAAATAGTGAAACAAATGTAGCAGTCTTAACGCATGGTTTAAAATGCGCTGCTGCTTTAATTCAGGGTACACCATATGCACGTTTGAAAACAGGACTTGCTACAAAATTAATGAGAAATTGTAGGCCATATATATTTTACAAAGGTATTCTTATTATTAATACTTTTTATTATATTTATATTTTTTTGCAAGAAATAAAATGTTATGTTCTTATTTATTATATAGATCCAACAGTTCGCGTTGCTGCATTATCAACTTTTGAAGCCATTGCTTCTTGTGATCCAGTGACTACAGAAATATTTGAAATACTTGGAAAACAATTAACTATAAATAGAGATCAACTGTGTTTAAATACTTCAATTAATAAAGCAGAAAGAAATATAGAAGAAGAAAATAATGAAGAGATTGATATTGAAGATCTTAAAAATAATTTGACAAATGAATATAATAATAAATTATTTAAACAGACAAATATCTGTTTTTTAATTCATGTTTGTTTGGAAAATATATCAAATAAGGTATATATATATTTTAAGTTAGCAATTTAATTATAAAAAAATTATTTTAAGAATAAATAATGATAATTATCTGATTATAGACAATGAGTACACCTGTTCGTCTTCAATCATTAAAATTAATTGGTAGAATGGCATTTAGTACTGAAAGTCTTGTATTTTCACAAATAGAATTGATTACAATAACTTTAATAGAAGTCATACAAGATTCTGAAACACAAGTAATATTACATGCTTGCAGAACTCTAGAAATTATGGCTGGTTGTCTCATGAACATTGATTCAGAAAATAATAATGCTTTAATATTTTGGAATATTATATTTGATCCTATAATATCACTTCTTCAACATCCACAAACAATAATAAGAGAAGCTGTATGTGATTGTTTAGGCAATATTAATTCTATTGTATTTGCTCAACTTCAAGTAAGTATTTATTATTATACAAATTAAAAATTTAGATAATTTGTACATATTTTTATATAGCAAAATAATTAATGTCAAAAAATTTATTTAAATGATGAATTATTTATGTTGTTATTAAATATAATAAAATAATAAATCATTTAGTAAAATATTTTAATTTCCAATATTTATATACATCTCTTATAAATATTCTTTTAGAGACAACAAACAATTTTAATTATTACAGTACTGTTTGGTACAGTACATGATGAAGAAAGTGCTGTAAGAGCTGCTGGATTACGAGCATTAGGAATGTTAGTCACATTACCTGCATTAAGAGAAGAAACTGGATTTTTAATGGACTTAGCTGATGTAGTTTGTTTAACTGCTGATGATAAAAATCTCGGTGTTCGTATTAAAGGAGCATGGGCGTTAGCTAATTTGTGTAATTGTCTTTCTAAAGAAAAGTTAGTTATAGATATATAAATGTTTAACTAATAATTTTTTAACTATTCTAAATGATTTTGTTTTTAAAATCATATATTAATTTAAGTTTTTATAAAAATTTAATTTTTTAAAAATTTTATAAAATATTCTTCGTAGAGATTATGAAGATGTGGAACCTATTTCTTTGGAAGTTTTATTACCAAAAATATATCAAGTCAGTATTAAAGCATCTAAGGATAATGATAAGGTAAAATGCAATGCTGTTCGAGCTCTTGGGAGTATTTTATATTTATGTTCTAACAAATACATATTGAAAGATACATTATCAGGTTTAGAGACTTTGATAAATTGTGCTACAGTAGGAAATGATATGAAGGTAAATTAAAATATATTAATTAAATACATAATTAACAATTAGCAAGAAATTTGTATTTCATATCTTATAATTTGAAAAATTATTATATATATCAATTATTTTTGCATTATATTAAATATTATTTTAATTTCTCTTTATTATTATATTTTAAGTTTTAATATATTTTTCTATATTATACATTAGGTGCGTTGGAATGCATGTCGAGCTCTGGGTTTAATTTTAAGTAATAATCCAGACAGTATATTACCATCTTCTTGGCGAGTATGTAATAAATAAAATAAATTTAATAAGACTTTTGTTTTTTATATTACAATTAACACAATTTTTTTGTTTTAGTAGGATCAGGTATTTCCTGTATTATGCAATCTAATTTGTAATAGTCCGAATTTTAAAGTGCGTACTAATGCAGCATGGGCATTATATTCTTGTAATTCCTATGGAAAATATATAATAATTTTATGGAAGAGTCTTATCTTAGCTTTTGAAAATTCTCAATATGTACCGAGTTATATCGAGTATCCTCATCGTGATGCTCTTATTCAACAGGTAATTAATATTATTATTAAATATGAAATTTATAATAATAAATATTAAATATTAAATCTATAATTAAATATTAAATCTGAAATTATATGTATATAAATATTATCATTATTATGTTTTTAGTTGTGTCTTACTCTTAGTCATGTGGCTGCTAATACAGAGGTGTCAGATTTACAGAATCTTTGGGTAGAAATAAGTGAACATATAGATGATGTTTCTAATTACATAAAACAATTTCAAGTATGATTCTCTTTTATTATTTTTTATTATTAAAAAATTAAACTAATTATTAATAAAGTATATTAATTTTATTAATATTATTATATTTACAATTTTTTATTCTAAAAAATAACTTTTATTAATTTAAAAATATTCATACATACATATATATATATATTTTTTAGGAAATTATTGTTCCTGAAAAAATGGGAGATATAATAAAAGCAAAATCTCAATTGGAAAAATATATGAAAAATGCTTTATTATTAGAAGAACGAAAAATTGCCCAAAGTTTAGCAAGCATTTTTGAAAGAACTAAACGATATGATAATTTAGATGATATTATTATGTATAATAGTAAAAAATAATTAATATTTTATATATATATTATATATTATAAATTAATTGTATACTATAATTGTATATATGTATATACAATTATATATATATATATATATCTATCGCGCATTCAAATTATATATATAATTATATCTAAATCATGTAAGTATTATTTACGGCTGAGAAAAAATCTCTCGTCATAGAGGGAAGATAAACTTTTTTTTATAATACATAATGATACATTATTTGTATACTTTCAACTAATATATATGCTTATTTTTATGAATATATTAGTATTAGATTCATCGAAATCAATTAATTATATTTTTTCTAGAAGATTTTTTAAGTCGTTAACAGTATATATATATATATATGTACATGTACATAATAAGCATATAAAATGATTCTAAATAAATATTTTAAAAATATATTAGAAATATATAAATTATATTGAATTGAAAAAACTTGCTTTTACGAAATAGATAGAAATAATAAAATATACAAACGTAAATATAAATATTATATACAAATTATTAAGATGATTTTCAAATCAAATAGATTTTTGTAAATAATATAATAGTATATTTATCAGTATGTATTATATTATATAATTTTTTATATTGAATTATTTTTGAATTATATTATACATAAAATCTATAAGTTTTTGAATATATCATTTATGTTATATATATTTGAAATTTGTTTCAATTAACTAAAATGTAAATTTTTTATAATTTTTTTTATTTAAATGATTTTCCAAATTTTACTTATTATTAAATGCTTATAATATCTTTTCCAAAATAATTTTAGTCAAATAAATATTAAAATTAAAATCATAATTTTTTATTTATTATTTTAATTGTTATAATTACTGCTTTAATCCAAATCCTATTTATTTTTATTAAGAAGCTGAATTGTTTACATTTATATCTATATATTCTGTATTACTAACTTTATTTTTATTTGTATTTGCAATAGAATTTGATTGTTCAGATTGACTAAAATCTTTTGAACTTAATGTATTCTTAATTATTTTATCATTTTTAGTATTTAATTTCTGTTCATTTAAATTTTCTTCTTCTGAAGAATATATATTATTTTCATTCTTGCTATGTTCTATATTTGTAATTTTTATCTTTTTGTTTTGTTTCCATTTTTGTTTTTTTTTAATCTTTTTGCTCTTTTTTTTGCAGTTATTTCCTTAGCTATTCTTTTATTTTCTTCAATTTTTTTATGGTATTCTGCATCTAAAAGTTCCTAATGAAAACATTAAATAAAATAAGGACAATTTTGTATTATTCATTTCTATATTTAATCTAATAAAAATAATTTTTATATTTGATAATATAAAGTTTAATTCATGTTAAATAATTATATTTTAAAAATAATATATATATATATTATGAATAATCATACGAATAAAATTATTTTTATTACCTTATGCCCCTTTTCTTGAATAAATTTTTGTCGTGCATATTCTTTACGTCTTAAATGTCTATATACATGAAATTCTCCACTACCAGCACCAGCACTACTACCCATTACATTACGGACAAATTCTGGTACTGTAGGTGTACTTTTAGCTTTAGGTCGTTCTGGTAATATAATAGGTTTTTCCTATTACAACAAATAATAAACATTTTATATTAACAATATTAGGCATTTGAAAAGAATAAAATCAACTTAATATAGGAATCACAGATATTATATGAATATATCATAAGTAAATGTATATATACTTTATATATTCATATTATTTGTTAAAATCATTAAAAATATACAAAAAAATAAAAATGATTTGTATAACATTTCTTGATTTGTTTGAAATTAAAAAAAAAAATAACTTTTATAGGAATAATATTTCAATATTCTGATATTTACCGGATTTTTCATCAATTTTTGAAGTTTTAATCGTTGTAAATCAATTGCTGTTTTTGCAACAACAGGTTTTTCTTCTTCTTTTTCTTTATTTTCTGGCATAATGACATATATTCTTATACAATAAGAAACTTTATTTTTAATTTTATAATAATTTACATACTCATTATCAAACTATAGTAATAAGAGATTATATACTTGATAACAAAAGTGAAACATACAATATAAAATCAATATATTTAGTTACAGCGATTCTTTACATGCCAAACTAAAAATATAATTAATTATATAAAAATATATAAATATAAATATTATATAAGAAATTTAATTATAAAAAATACTAAAAAATGTATTTTTTCATAAATAATTAATAAGTTGGAAATATTTTATAATTATAATATAATAGTATATTTGTATAATATATATTACAATATATATATATATAATATAATACTATATTATATTTTTATTTATGTATACTTTATATTTTTTTTATATAAACTTATATTATATTTTTAATATAAGTATTTCTATTTTTCTTTATTATTTTATTTTAATTATTATTTTATTATTAAATTAACTTTTATACTGTTTATTAAATTTTGTTTATTATTACAGATTATATTTTAACAGAGATAAACTTAAGAAAATTTAAATACTAACATTACAATGATTTATTCGATCGCAAAATTTATTTAAAATAAGATTTATCCAAATAATTAATTATAATTAATAACATTATATTTATTTTAACTCATTTTTAATAATCTTATTAAAATAAATACGATTAAATTAATATAATTTATATTATATTTTAATGTGACGTGAATACATATTTATTATATGTTATTATATATTATGCGTTATTATATGAAAAATATTTATTATAATAAAAATATAAGTACTTTAAAAATTTTTTATTAAGAAAATCAAATTTAAATCATTTTCTTCAATATAATTTTTCTTAGTAACTATAGTAACATATTACTAATAATTTTAAAGTGATCCAGTTGGTAACAGTAATAGTAGCAGAAGGCTTTCAATATTGACGCACATTGACGCTTATTGAGAATCCTGTAATCGTCGAAGACTAACAAAATTGTATTGTCAAATTCAAAGTGATTTTCACGAGATAAAATATATTATTATATATTCTAAAAACAATGTCAGAGACGATAATAGACGAAAGGTAATTTTTGTAAAATCTTAGATTAGATATGCTTTAATGAATATTCAATTTTTTGAAATATATATTAAAATATTTTGTAGAGTAACCGATGAAATCGAAGCATTAAAAGCAATTTTGCTTGATGATGAGTTAAATATAAAGGAAAATGATAGGTAAGTTTTTTCTATAAGAAATTTGATACTTGTAACCTAATAATTGAATCAATTTGTCATTTTAAAACTTTTAATCATTATAAATTATAGAAATTTAATTTATAACAAAAATATATTTTTTTCAAAAAATAAATATAATAGTTAAGCATATAATTTATAAAAATTCAAATTTAATTGTAAAATAATAATTGCTAATTTTAAAATTCAATGAATATTTTTTAAGAAGTAAAATATACTTGAATTTTAGAAATAAAATAAATTAATTTAAATTAATGGTTATATCTTATAATTGTTATATACATAATTGTATAATAATCTTATTGTAATGTATTGTAATTTCATATAATTTAATTATAATTTTTTTTGAATTTATTGATTATTTAAAAATAATATTACATTTATAACATGTAAAATTATTTAGCATGTTTTTTTTTTAAATCTAATATATTTAATAATCATAATAATATTGTTATAGTCATAATTCTTAATATGATTAAAGATCTTAATATTATAAAATCTTTATAATATTAATATATTTATAATATTTAATATTATTATTTTTATCATTATTAATTAATTATTATTAATTTTTATTAATTATTAATTATAAAAATATATTATAAAATATATTATATAAATTATAATAAAATTATAATAACAAATATAAAAATTTGTTTTTGCAAATATATAATAATATATAAATTTAAATTTTCTAAAAATAAAAAAAATCTAATTATTAATAATTAAAATATTCAAATATTATATATTATAAAAAATCTATAAACACAAAAAAATAATTTCTTATGTTTACAATTGCTATGTTATTATATAATAATAATGTTAAATATTATAATATGATATATATAGAAAAAAATTATCTTTATAAAAAGAGTTATTTTTTAATCTATTTATATTTATTTTTTAAATACTTTATGAAGAGAAAACAAAAAAAAAACATTGTGTTTTATATTATATTTTTCTTTTTTATTGATTTCATATTTTATTAATTAATATTTAATTATGGTCACTAATTATACATGTATATAAAATTATTAGTAATTTATTATTAGTTTTATTATGAATTATGAAAATCAATCTTTTTTCAGAGGTGAACCAGAATATATTGAGACTGTGTTATTTCCTTCAACTGGTGAAGATTCACAGTCTCAATATGTTTGTGTAACATTGATTGTTCAATTACCTGTAGGATATCCTGATATATCACCTACTATTAATCTCAGAAATCCAAGAGGTTTAGATGAAAATACTGTGAGACTTATGCAATCAGATGCAGAGGCAAAATGTAAGAATTTCATAGGTCAACCAGTTATGTTTGAACTCATTGAGGTATGTATTATATATTAAAAATAATCAATTTGTAAAGTATGATTATTATAATTAATATATTTTAAAATAACAATATATTGAAATATATTAAAATACATTGAGTTATATATTATCTATCTATACATTATTATATATGTTATACATTATATAAAAATATAAAAAAATAATTTTTTATATTTTATAAAAATATATTTTAAATTTTATTACTATTTTATTATTATTAAAATATTATATTATTGTTTATTAATTTATTAAATTATAAAATCATTATTTTAACATATATTCATTATATTAATATGATATTATTATAATAGTTGATAAGAGAACACCTTACAAGAAGTAATCTTCCAACGGATCAATGTGCCATATGCTTATATGGTTTTCGAGAAGGAGATGAATTTACAAAAACTGAATGCTATCATTATTTTCACTCCCACTGTTTAGCAGCACATGTTGCTGCTGCAGAACGATATTACAGAGAGGAGCAAGAAAAATTGCCTCAATGGCAACAAGATACTACTAATAAATTTCAGGTATAATATTAGTTTATATAATTTGATATAAACAAAATATTAATGACCACTAAATATATTATAATTTTATAGGCTATATGTCCTGTATGTCGAGAATCCATCAATTGTGATGTAGAAAGTTTATGGTCTGCTCCACCTCCAATTGATGTTGAAGCTGCTATCGATTTTTCAGTAACTGCAGAATTGAGAGAATTACAAAAGCAGATGGCAGCATTATTTTTAAGGCAACAAGAAAGGGGTGGTATAATTGATTTAGAAGCTGAAGGCGTAAAGACATTAGTTAGAACAGAAGATGAATCTGGTACTACAACTGAAGGACCCAATCCTCCAGGAACTAGTGTAAATACTTACTCAGTGCAATCTGTTAATCAGATGGTATGTTAATTATATATTGATTATATTATATAGACATATATTTTTATATAAATATTTTAATTTTTAATGAAAGATATATATATAATTGGGAATAGAATTAATATTTATGATATTTGATTTTACTAATATATAAAATTATATATTATATAAAATAATTTAATGATAAGTCGTTTTTTTTTAAATATCATAGTCAAAACAATCTTCACATCAAACTCAAAATGCTCACTATCAATCAAGACAACTACATCATAATTATCATGGACATAATAATCATGGACATCGAAATAGAGGTCGTGGACGAGCTCATTATCGTCGACAATTTGACAGACTTAGGCAAACGGAATCTACTCCCAGATGACAATGGGTTCGAGATAAATTATTTACTGTCTGGTCTCCTATTTTGCTAAATGTATACAATAATATGAATAGCATTAGTAGCATAATTATGTATGTATTATATAACAATTATTTAATTTTAAATTACTTTTATATTATGATATTATAGGTTTTATTGTTCAACAACATTCCCGTTGTAACGTAATGGCGTATAAAATGGGATATGTTAAAACTTCCAAGGACTGTCTGTGTAGACTGAAGCCATGGTGCTCTTTTAAACGATCTACAATCGTACAAAGTTAGTTCTTTTTTTTAGTATAAATATGTATACAGAGCTGTAAGTACTGTAGCATATTATAAACAAATAAAAAAAAATATACGCAATCAAAATAGTATATTAAAAATATTTTATACTAGCAATTTAAAATTTAATGATCTCAAAGCATAAAAATAATATGTATTGCTTCTAAATTAATAATTTTTAAATTTAACATAATTTATAATACTCATTTTCATGTAAAAATTTATTAATAATATAGATCGTGCTATATAACAGAGCAGACATGGATCAGTATTTAAACAGATATTTGTTTATTCCTTTTAAAGGAATCAAAATTTAATTTTTGCTCTATGCATACAAAAGCAATGTAAATCCTTAGTAAAAATATGTAATGCTATTATATATCAAATTTAACATATGAAATATACCTTTCAAGAGTTGAGAATTTTGATTTAATGCATGAATCAACCACAACTTCTGAAACTATTCAAATAATGCACATTAGCATATTTTCAATGCAGAAAATTTTTTCCACAAATATGTAATATCTATATTGAAAGAATGTAAGTTACTTTTGTAATTTATTTGTATTTAATTTTACTATTACTTTATTTTTAAATATCTTAAAGAGATTTATTGTAAATATTTCTTTATTATATACAAAAGAAGATTTTATTAATATGTAAAAATCTTCTTTATAAGTGTGATATTTATAACAAACTAAATAATATAAAATAAGAAAAAATTAAAAAAAAAATTATAATTTTAGATCATTCCAATTCAATTAAATTAAGATATTAATTTTGTCATAATCATATAAATTTTTTTAAAATAATAAATTTGAATTAAAATTAATTATGTTATTAAGGCTATTATGATGTCCAAAAATAGAATAGAAAATGCTTTTCTAAATGTCAAAATATTATAGTAAAAATATGTAAATTTCGTTACAATTAATTATTGCCTATTTTTTAAATAGAATATGAAGAAGTAATTTTATGCATTTTTTATAATTTATATATATATGAAATATAGATTTTAAATTAATATAAATTATATTTTCAACTTATTTCAATTAAAAATAAATGATTAAAATGCTTAATTGAAAATTGTAATAAATTAATATTGTATGTTTATTTGCTTTTATTATATTATATGTATAAAATATATTCTCTAATTCAATACAAGAATTAATTGCGATAATATAAAAAATTGTTTTTATACAAAAATTTTAACTTGATTATTTTAAATATTTTTTTAAATTTATTTTTTAAATATTTTTTCAAGAAGAATATATCTATCTTTCTTAATTAATTTATATTTCATTTATAAAGAAAATTAGATGAAAAGAATATTTTTAAATTTGATTTTGATTTTAAATAATATTTATATATCAAAAAAAAAAGGATATTTCAATTATATTTAAATTCATATTTCAATATATTTACAATATAATTTTTCTTTTCTTTTTTTATATTGATATTATATTCATCTGTGATATTTTTGAAAAGAAAATTATATTTTAATTTCTACTTATTTTATAAATATATGTATATAAATATTTATGCCAGAAATTAAAATTTGAGAATTCATTGCATATTTGTGATTATAAAATCTTTGACTATAAAATCTTGTAATCTTGATATTTGTTTCTTATCAATGTAATAAAAATATTCAATGGAAAATGCTTTAAATTGTAGTAATAAACATTTTTCCATGAATAAAATTGTAATGTATACTCAATTAAAAATAAAATAAATTATAAAAATAACATATATATTGTTTTTAATTAATATAAAGTATTTATATTATAAACAGCTTAAAAAAAAATTTTTAATAAAATTTATTTTTCTACTATACATTCATTTAAAATTCATTTAATTAACATATAGAATTTAAGATAAGAATTATAAGAATTTTTATAAATATAAATATAAATATGAATACATTCATATTCTTGTCTTTATTCTGAATTAAAAAAATATGATCTAGTAATATATGTAACAAAAATAATAAAATAATTCATTTTTATTACATATTTAAAATTTTACAACAATACTTTTTATCTTCAATTAAAAACATACATTTAGAATTGATAAAATATTTATACAAATAAATTTCCAACTTATAATATTTGTAACAATTATAAAATTACTAAAATTAATAATAATAATAATAATAATAATAATAATGAGTTAATTATATTAATTTTTAATCTATAATGATTTTTTTATGAATGTTTAATACATAATTTGCAATTAAATCACAAATAATTAAAAATAAATAATAATTAGTAAAATAATTAAATACTATATAGTGCATTGTTCCTTCAGTTTATTAAGTTTTAATTTTAAATGTTCAAGTTCTGTTTGTACTGGCTTATAAAAATCTTTAAATTGCAGCAAAACATTAGATGCTGCATCTAGTAATACTGGATTGATGGATTTAGGTGATGGAATGTCTATAGAAATGGAACTAACCATACTGTTGTCACCATATCCTTCATCAATACTTTCATCTGAATTTTTTGTTAATGCTTTCAATTGATCTTTTAAATCCTATAAAATAATATAACTTTAATATCAAATTATTTATTATCAAAAAAATAAAAAATTATATATAAAAAGTTATTAGTGAAAATTACTTTATTTCTTATTAAAACCTGTTTTAGGCATTCTTGTAAAGAAACATCCATCTTATTTTTCTAAAACAAAATATATATAAAATAATTATATGTTTTTCCACTAAATTTTGTTAATTTTATATAGATATTATAAATATTATTTTATACCATATTGTTCAAATGTCCTTTGATTTGAATATTATGAAGTTTATTTTCTAAACATTTTATTTTTCGTTTCTCTTGCCTAAGTTTTCTAATTAAAGCAGTATTAGCTTCATATGATAATGTTTTTAAATGCTTATTTTCATTTATTATATCTTGCATTGAATTTAATTTTTCTTCTGCTTCTATATTTTTTGATTTTAAAAGCTTGTATTGTGCAATCATTTTTGTTAATTGTAATCGCAATTGGAAGATTGCATCTTCTATTTGACTTTGTTCTTGCTTAGAAGAAAATAGAGTAGTCTGCAATGCTTCATTTTCAGATTTCAACTTTTGAATTTCAAATTGTGCTTTACGCAATGTATTAACAGTTTGATTTTTTTCAGTTTCACATTTTTGTATATTTTCCTCCATAGTTGTAATTAATATACGTTGCTTAGCTAAAGCATTTTCCATTAATGCTTTAGAAACTTCATTACCTAAAAATCGTTTTTCTAATGCTTTTAACTCTGCCTTTGTACTTTGTAGTTCATCTTCTGTTAATTCTAACTTTGTAGAAACATCTGGAGAACTAGAAGTAGTATTAATATCTAATGATTTTAAAATATTATTTGATTGATTTTGCGTCTTTAAATTTTGTATTTCACATTCCAAATCTTGTTTTTCTTTTTGATGTTTTTGAAGAAGTTCAATATAATCTGTATTCAATTGCTTATATCTAGTATTTATATTTGCTATAGTTTGTTGTCTTTGTTGTAAAATTCCTTGATAAGTATCAATTTCTAATTGTAAAGTCTTTTTGTTTGCTTGTAATCCATGTATTTGAGACTGATACCATTTTACAGATGCTTCTGATGAATCTAAATGATTATTTACATCTGTTAAAGTATTTTGTAATTTTTGTTTTTCTTGAATTACTAATTGCATTTCTACATACAATTCTGTTATTTTTCCTTTAAGACCTTCATTAGCTGCAATTCTGGCATTGAGTTCAATGCGCATATTTTCTAAATCTATTCGAAATCGTTCATTTTCTAATTCTAGTAATGCAATACGTTTTGACAATTCTATATTTGAAACATCTGGTGTTGATAAATGTCTAATATGAAATTCATCACTTATTAATTGCAGGGAATCTGTTGATGTAGCAGAATCTAATTCTGCTTTAAATGAATCAGACAAATTGTCCATTATTTTAAATTATACAATAATTTAATATGATTAATGAAAAAATTTTTTAAAATTTTCTTTCATTAAATACAATCATATTATCAATAAAGTATAATTTAATTTTATAATGTTAAAATATATTAATCCATTAATTATTAATTCTACATCCTTTTAGATTTAATAAAATATATTTATTATATATATTTCATTTTGCTAAATTTTTATATATTTTTTTTTAATATTAAATTAATAAATATAAAAGATACTAAACGTGACATATGTCAACATAAGTTTCTATATTCTTAGATATCACGTTTAAGAGAAATACGACTATCATGTTAACATACTAGACAAACAAACACAAACATATAATTTAGAAGTCTAAACTTATTATACATATTAATTTGTTTGACTTAAATGTAAATCTCAGATTTTAAATATCTATTTTGTGGAAAGAGCATAACTATTACTATATAACTTCATGAGAATGAACTTTGTATTGAAAAATTGTATTGAAAGTATTATTATTTAACGTTAAAAATTATAATAAAGAATCAATATTTTTTATACATAATTTATATTTTATTATTTTCGATTTTTTAAAAATTAAAATGTATATTATAATAAAAATATAAATAAAAATAAGAAATTAAAAGATAACCTATCGATTGTGATGAATTTATGAGTAAAGATACTAAAATTATTTTATATCATGGCGCCAGCATCGTATTGGATGTAATTCACAGAGACGATAATCTCAGTTGCGCGCATGGTCGTTCAACGTCTTTGGATTAAGGGTGGGTCTGTTCTTTTTTCGGGAGGGGTCATGTAAATGTCTCTAAGTATAATAATTAAAAAATACAATAGTAGCCACATCTTATGTATATTTTATACAGATTTGTGAAAATTAATATTGTGGGTAAAAGTGTTGATATTGTATTTCTGTGTTCAATGATCATTGACAACGTGACGGTGATCAAAACTTTTTGTTGGATGGAGTATTCTACGATTTGTGCTATCTTTCCCTAATTTCCAGGTCCCCTCTTTATTCGACCCGATTCCCCATAAAGATTCATTCCCCTATATACTCTAGTCGCTCCCGTTCATGGCGGCCCAGGGTGGGGGAAAACAAGCTGTATAACGACGTAAAATTTCGAAGCTTGTATGCAGGAATATGTCTAGTTTAAAAATCGGTAAGCTAATATTCATTTGTTTTTTTTAATAATGAAACGAGAAATTATTTTATTTCATAAATAATAAAAGGAACGGCTGAGTTAACTCGTGCTAATTGTTGCCCCTTTGCATCCAACACGCTTCTACTTTGCTTTTGTAGTATGGTAGACACGAAGGCAATGAACGTACTCTATATACGTGCTTCGAGAATTACCAGTTCTTCTTTAAGTTTTGCGCGAAGGGGAACAGAAAATAATTGTTCAATTCTTGAATACACGTTCCTTTGCATATGTAAATATCTCACAATGGGCGGCACATTCGCGTGTTTTATCAAATCATCGCTTATGACGTTTGTCGAAATTTTAATTATATATCTATAGTTGAAATTATATTATAATTCTTTTTTTTCAATTCTTTCATAAGCTTTTTCCATTTTTTTCTTATACATATTTATAGAATATTAAATAATATTTTACGTTCATTTTTTTTTTATAGATGTTTTCTTATTTTATAAATTTTTTATTTTAATTATTATTTTTATCATATATTTTAATTCTTAAATGAATTTAGTAATATTTTTTTATGTATTTTTATATTATTTTATTTTATAGTATATTGTAGATAGCATGAATGTTTAATGTTCTTTTTATCAATCAATGATAGATTGAAAGTATTTTATTAGTTATATTTTTTTAAATAATTTTTATAATTTTTTATTGAAAAAATCATTAATAAAAATATTAAGTTTAATAACAATATTTAATTTAAAATTATATTTAAAATATTTATTTAATATATATATGTGTATATATATATTATTTCTAATATTAATGATTTAATTTATCTTATCTTATCTCTAAAATATATTTTTATTAACAATTATATATACTTATCTTTAGAGGAAATTATAGTTTTTAAAATAAATTTTATATTATTCTTTATAATTTATTCTTATAATTCTCTTATTTTTAAAATTATAAATAAAAAATACAAATAAATAGAATACAATGTGAGAATATAAAATTTTTAAATTGAAATTATATTTTTATATATTATATAAAATTTTTTTTAATAATGATTAAATTATATAATTTGTATTAAGAATATTTAATAATATTTATATTTGTAATTATATTTAAAAAATTAATAGGATAATTTATATTAATAAAATAAGTATACATATATTATTTAACAAATAAATATATTTTTTTAATCAAATTTATGTACATTTATATAAATATACTGTATGTATCATTTTTTTTTTATGATAAAAAAAATATTATATTCTATAATATATCTATATGATATCAAGTTAATGATTGTTTTATTTTTCCTAAAGTGTTGGTAATGCACTTGCTTGCCCTACCCTTGAGAACGATGGACTCTGAGCAAAGAAATCAGCAGGTATATCAACACTAAACAAAAAGCTAAAGAATGAATGCCTGCTGCACTCACGCTGCCAACACAGAACAAGCAGACTTAATATTTATTCAAGTAGTGTGTGAGTAGCAGCTACTCACGCCACACTCAGACGTATATATCTGTTTTCGCACATGGCAGCCATGAAGCATGGTACGTTTTATTCTTGTATGCTTTGCTTTGTATGTTTTAATAGGCATATCAGTATAATTTATCAAAAAAAAAAGAGTTAATTAATATATTATCTATAATATATTTTAAAGTATATTTCTAAGTTCTGTACTTTATATTATATTTGAGAATATATAATAACAATGAACTAAAAAAACTTAGAATAATTTTTTAAATAATTAATTAACAGTATATAGTGAACATCAATTTATTGATGATAGTTTAGGTAAATTAATTTATAATATTGTTTATTTAATAATTTTTTAAATTTTAGAAAAATATAAATTATAAATTATAATGTATAAATTATATTTTTAAATATCTTAAAAAATAATTATAAAAAATATAAAAAGCAAATATAAATAAATTATAAATATTAATATAGTTTATACTATATTACAACCATAATATATTTAATATTTTTTATTATTTTTGAAACATATAACCATTTTACTCAATGCAGATATTATATATATTTTATATATATAATATTGATATATATATATTTTACATATATTTAGTAATTTTCTATTGCAGATAACATTATACATTGTTTTTTTTTAATTTCACAGTCATTATTTATATTTGTGTCTTTTTTTTTTTGAGAAAGATATTATAGAAAATAAATAGATAACAATTTAATGTCATTAATTGTATTCATTTAAATATTATTTAATATTGTAGATTCTGGATATATTAAATTTTAAATTTTTTATTTTCTAAATTTCAGTATTATTTATTTTTTCCTTTTAATTAATAGTATTGTCATTAAGTATATTAAATTTTATAAAATATTACTTATTTTATTTATATTCATATTTAAATAATAAGTTTTCTTATAATATATATTTTTAGAAATATTCTTTTTATTCTAATAATTTTAAATTAAAAGTTAGGAGTAATACTAAATAAATTTTTATATTCATTACATATTTTGTGTATTAGAAATATTATATTATTTTTAAAATTATAATAAAATATGTAATAAAAAAATTTTAAAAATATAACCATTTTCAGGCAAGACAAGTCAAGACGACGTATGTTATGTTGTCGCCAAATATGATTATGGAGCACAAGGTGCTCAGGAATTAGATTTACGTAAAAATGAACGTTACTTGCTTCTTGATGATTCTAAACACTGGTGGAGAGTACAAAGTGCACGAGGGCAAGCTGGTTATGTGCCAAGTAATTATGTCAAGAAAGAAAAACCATCTCTTTTTGATAGTATCAAAAAGAAGTCAAAAAGGGTTCTGGTTCAAAAACTCTACCATCTAGTAATTCACCATCTAGAGCTGTAGAATCTCCTATTATGGCTAGGCGCTTACCTGCTGATCCAAGTGAAGCAATAGGCACAGCAGTTGTCAAGTACAATTATCAAGCACAACAAGCAGATGAACTATCACTTGTTAAAGGTACTAGAATCTTAATATTGGAAAAAAGCAATGATGGTTGGTGGAGAGGTCAAAGTGGTACACAAGCAGGCTGGTTCCATCAAATTATACTCAAGAAGAAGGAGATGCAGATGATACTCTTCATACATATGCAATGGCAGAAAATGTTCTTGATATTGTTGTAGCACTTTATTCATTTTCTTCTAACAATGATCAAGAACTGTCTTTTGAAAAAGGTGATCGTTTGGAAATCCTTGACCGTCCGCCAGCAGATCCTGAATGGTATAAAGCACGGAACAGTCAAGGTCAAATAGGTCTAGTACCACGTAATTATCTTCAAGAACTCAGTGAATATTTGACTCAACCATATCGTGAAAGAGGAATGACAAGTAGTGAAATTAGTACAGGAGATTCCCTTGAAAGAAGGCCAGATCCTGGTGATAGACCACATCTTGTTGGAAAACCTTGGTACTATGGTAGCATTTCACGTTCACAATGTGACACTTTATTGAATCAACATGGTCATGATGGTGATTTTTTAATTAGAGATAGTGAAACTAATGTAAGTATAGTAATAAAAGTTATTTTAATTAATTCAGTTTAAAGTTTATTTGAATTATTATTTTATTAACAATAATAAATAATACATTTTTAATAAATTTTTATAAAATTTTATGAAATATTTTTATTTCTATATTATTATAATTTTTAGGTGGGAGATTATTCAGTATCTTTAAAAGCTCCAGGTCGTAATAAACACTTTAGGGTACATGTGGAAGGAGCATTATATTGTATTGGTCAAAGAAAATTTCATACATTAGACCAATTAGTAGATCATTATCAACGAGCGCCTATTTATACTAATAAGCAGGGTGAGAAATTGTATTTGGTGCGCCCATTGCCAAAAGGCAACCCCAGTAGTAATGGCTGCTAGGTGAATTCGTGCCATGAAACGGTCCATGCGCTTTGGAATGTATCTCTGAGATACGCAATGCCTGCCTAGTAATATCAATATCACACATCTCGTATGTTTATACATAATTAATATAATTGGTGAACTCATATATTAGTGTTTCTTGATTGTTTGTCCATTTACACTGATAAATAATTTATTACTCTAAGTAATTGCCATCAACAATCTTTATCATTCATTGGAGCTTCCATACTATTTAGCAAACAAAGCTAAGAAAAACGAACATTTGTACGGCAGCTATATGACAATTGACTAGTTGACACACAAAGCTTTTCATTATATCTACATGTAATTGTAAAACACGACCGACCATGTTATTACAATTAATATATTTACAACTACGCGTAATGTAGACTGCAAGTGTAATGATCAAATAATGGTTAATTATCATGCAATTATGACCGGTTAAGTGAATCTCTACTCTGAATCTATTGGTATTGAATTATGACAAAGACTAAGTGTTCATTTGTGATTTTGTATTTATTAGAAATTTTTAAGTAAATAAACTATATTTAAGTGTGCATCAGGTAAAATCTAGTTCTTTTACAATCCTTTTATTATTACTATATATTTTTGTTTCAAATATTTAAAATATGTACATATTTTAATATATATTCTAAAAGATAAAAAATATTATATTTTGACTCAAACACTTTAACAATATAAATGAAATCAAATTAAATTAAATTAAGGGATAATTTTACTAGATAACTAATACATGATTGGTAACAAATATTAATCTTTATTTAACGTGTATATTATATTCATAAATAAAAGTATTATTTAGTTATATGAATAAGAGATTGGTGCTCCTGTAGATAAAAATTAATGGCACTAATTGCCAATAAGGTCACATATATAAACAATTGCCCTAAGCTAAACATATTTTAGGTCTATATTATTTGTTCGTAATTCCATTAAAAACTTATGCTTATTTGATCATAAGAAAGGATTGTTCGAATTTCTTGTCATGTTGCTCACACCAGAACCAACCTAAAAAAACTTGTATGTTTTTAGACATTTATATATGGATATATACTATAAAGTTAAAGCGAAAATATTATTGTACCATAAATGGATTTGCATGATATGCAGGAAGAGTTGGTTGCCATACTTTATTTGTCATTAATTGACTAAATTGAATTACATCTCTGTTACTAGATGGTCCAATACCTACCCATTGTGGATCTAAAATATTTATATTTTTTTTAATTATTTTAAATTTTTGACACATTGAATTTTTTACTATTTAAATTATGTCTTACCATTATTCATAGGAAATTGTACTGGTTTAAAAGGATTAATAGGATTGTATAAAGAAGTATCAATTGATTGTGTATTATTATTAACTACATTAGATGGTCGCCATAAATCACCAGTTGTAAATGGATTTGAAATTACATTTGTAGTTTGATTTCCTACACTCCAAATTGAATTTGTAGCTAGAAAAAGAATAACAATATAATTCTGTAAAATTTTAATAAATTATTTATTGCCATGTGGATATACCATTATTAGTATTCCATGTAGATGTATTTAATGTTGTTGCATCATCTTTTAATTGTATTTGCTTCATTAAGGAATCTAAGTCTTTCAGTGCCGCATAACGATCTTCTGATGGAGGTACATGTGTACCATTTGCATTCATTGTATTAGTCAAATTTCCTGTAGTCTGACTAACTGGACTTAAGGATTCAACATCTAAAAAAAAATGATTAATATACAAATTTTATTGTACTAATATATAAAAATATAAATATTGAGTATTGATTTAATTTACTTGTATTTTTTGGACTATTAAAAACAGGATTGTTGTCAAAATTGGCAAAAAATGGCTGAGGTACAATTGGTTGACTGAGTTTACTTGCAGGTGTTGTGTTAATAAATGGATCAGGAACTTTGCTGAAATCAGCTACAAAATCTGTCGAAAAATTATTAAAATTAACTGACTCAACATTGTTTATTTTTGAAGTTGATGTGGAAGATAATGTAGATGTTCCAGAATGTGGAACCCTTGGAATGTTGATTTGATTAGATGATTGTGACTTTTGATTTGAGTTTTGATTTGCCATGGATGGATCCAAATAATATCTTTTAAGTTCATATTTTGCACTCATTAAATCTTTCATTTTTTGTTCATCTTTTGTATCTAAATTTTGAGATGAATTTTGATTCATCAAGCCTAACCATATTCTTCTGCAATATTCATTACCACGTTCCTTTATAAAATCTATTTCCTCTTGTGTAAATGTTGCCATAGAAATAGACTTTACTCTATGTGGTGGTGTTAAACCTCGTCTGTAATTTTAAATAAAATTATTAAATAAATAAAATATAATAAATAAAAATATAAAATTCATAAAATAATTATTTATTATTTTTAATAAATAATTATTAATTATATTTAATAAATAATTAATGAAAAATTGATAGAAAATCTGAAAATAAAAAATAATATTTAATGTTAATATTTTTACTAAATATATATTTATTATATTTAATAATTAACCCATTTGTTTCATTTAATAATTATATATATTATAATTAATTTATATTAGCTTCATAAAAAAGCTAAAATAGATTATGTAAAATAGCTACTGATTTTTTATACTTAAAAAAATATATTTTGATCATTGTTATCAACTACTACTACTACTATTACTACTATTACGCACAAAGAAAATACTGATGCTGATAGTTAACTTCCTGACTGTAAACATGAACATTTAACAGAAATCTATAATCTTTCTAATATAAATAATATATTCATACATGTGTTTTAACAAAATTTATTATTCATTTATATAAAAAATATTTTTAGTTAAGACCAAAACAACTTATTTAATGTATTTGAAATGTTGACATTTATCTAATAAATATTATAATTTTGTAATCATTAAATATCATGTAAATTGTAATACATATTTTATTATTTTTATGATATGAAGAAATTTTAAATAAAATAATTTTTAAATTATTCCTTTATAAGAAGAAGACTTGATACACTTTATGGGCTTCTTATAAGTAATGCTACTTACAGCATACCAGAACAAGAAGTACAGACGAATGAACCGATTGTCATGTTGACGTAAGTTGGGCCTCGTTGATGGCAGTCAAAACATTCTTTATTACCGGATTGCGAAACCAGTTCGCGTAATATTTTCAAATTCTTCTCGTCTTGCTTTCTTTTCGCGGACGCCATCATATATGAATGTATTTTATAATTATAAACGAAACAGAGAGACAACCGCTCTCGCGCTCTGCTTGCGGAACTGACTCAATTTTCTGTCACGACAGTCGTGCGTGTTCCGTAACACATTCTAAAAATGTTTCATAAGAAAACAGATCAAACGTAGAATATGTTAGCAATGATTTTTTATGGTTGATTTTCACTCATTAGAATTCTCATTTTTATGTGAAAATACAAGAGTTCATTGGTCAGATTTTAGAACTACAAGTATATTTAATTAAAAGAATGTTTTTAACTATTAATAATAATAATATATATATATATATATATATACAAATTTATTTTTAATTTAAATATATAATAAGACATGACCAACATAATTATACTTTCAAATACTTTTTAATATTTAAAAATTATTTAAAAAATACAATAGATAAAAATACAAATAGATGAAAATTAATATTTTAAAAATTACATTTAAGTGAAATGAACAGCAATTGTAGCAATAATGAATTTTATTTATAATTAATAATTTTCTCATTAAATATTATATATTTAAATTAAATAAAAATTAAATAAAAAAAATAATTAATGTGTATTATGCATCATAATTATTATAAAAAGAGAATAAATGAAATATAAATATTATGTAATATTTTATATATTTATGAATGTATACATATTTATATATATTATACTTATTTAAAAATAAAATACTTAAAATTAAATATTTCACCTTAAGTATTTTCTAAAATGTGTTTGCTAATATGATTTAATAATAAACTAAAACAAAAATAATTATTACAAAAATTTAAAACTAACTTATTAAAAATCTTCTGAAATTTTTTATTTTGATTTATTTATATAGTTAAATAAAAAAAAATGAAAAATTGAAAAATATTTCAAAATATAATTGTTAAATTTAAAAATTTTTTATTTCGGTTTATTTTAAAATAAGTTAAGAATAAATCTATTAACTGTTTCAGTTTCTATTTATAAGTTAAAGATAGCAAATATGCTTCTATGTGCCAATTACATAGATAGTTTGATTATAGTATCAGTAAAATAAGTATTCAAAAGAACACAGTCAAGGTTAATGTGCGTATACGTATACGATAATCAAAAAAAAATTTTGTTTTGTTATTATTTTAGTTATATAGTTACCTGTAAATGTAATTATTTTGTATTACACTAAAATTTATTTTAGATACTATGAAACAACTTAGAAACAAATGGAAATAATTATTGCTATTATTAAATGAATATGCGCATTACTAAATAATAAGATTAATTTTGAAAAAAGTTAAATTGATTATTATAAATAACATGACATCTCTTGCGACAACATCTATGAATACAAAAAGGTTTAGTTCTGTGTTTCATAAAAGAAAATATGATTTAAAATATAATTAATTTATTTTTCATTGTAATTAAATTTTAAACAATTATTTTTTAAATAGATCTCATATCAGAAATGCACGTCAAGGTAGTGTTATTGATTTGGATATTGACATGTTTCTCAAGATATCCAATTATGAAGATACAGTTAGACAACTTGATATCTATTACGGAATTGGTATGAAAATATTGTATTATTTTTTATTATTTATTTTATATTATAAAATTGTTATAAAAAACAATATTACAAAATATAAAAATTATATAATTTTTAGTTAAAAGACAATTATTACGTTATCAAAGTTGCATAACAGGTCTTTTTCCACAAATTTCAAATGATAAAGTAGTTGGAAGTGTAAGAGAAAGTATTTATTGTGCTGCTGCTATATGGAGTTTGTATCAAGCATATAGGTAATAAAATAAAATCAATAGTTTAAATTTAATATTATCATTACATTGCATTATTATATTGTAATAAATAATATATTATGTTTTAGACGTATAGATGATGATCGTGGAAAATCTTATGAACTTGGACAATCTGCTGTAAAATGTATGCGTGGAATTTTAGAATGTTGGGTAAAACAGTCACCTCGAATAGAATTATTTAAACGTAATCAATGTAACCGTTTTGCTCTACATTGTAAATTTCATTTAGATACTGGTGATGAAATTTTTAAAGATGCTGATTATAATCACTTACAAGTAATTATAATTTGTATAAATATAATTAAAAGAAAATAGATTTTATTTAACATTACATGATTTTTATTGATCAAATGTTAAAAGATTGATAAATATTAACAATGATTTTTTAATATTTTACAATTATTTGTTATACAATTAAAAAATTTTCACAGATTGATATTGTTTCTCTATATTTGATATTTTTGGTACAAATGATTTCTTCTGGATTACAAATTATATATACTCAAGATGAAGTAGCATTTGTGCAAAATCTTGTGTATTATGTAGAAAGAGCATATCGTACACCAGATTATGGCATGTGGGAACGTGGTAGTAGATATAATGATGGTACACCTGAAATACATGCAAGTTCAATTGGTATAGCTAAAAGTGCTCTTGAAGCTATTAATGGATGTAATTTATTTGGAGAAAAAGGAGCTTCTTGGTCAGTTATATATGTTGACATTGATGCACATAATCGAAATCGTAGTATTTTTGAAACAATGCTTCCAAGAGAATCAAGTTCTAAGGTAAAGTTGTTTTTATAATATAATTTTTATATATTTTACCTAATAATATATTATAATATAATATAATACACATTTAGAGTGTAGATATAGCTTTATTGCCAACAATATCTTTTCCTGCATTTGCTACTCATGAAGATGTACTGTATAATGAGACAAAAGCAAATATTGTTAGGAGATTAAAAGGAAATTATGGATTTAAAAGATTTGGCAGAGATGGATATAAAACAACTATAGAAAACAAAGATCGTCGATATTACAAATCTGGTGAAATCAAGGTCTCTGATGTATTTGATTGTTAGTATATATTTTTGAAAAGTGCTTAAATAATTTCATTATGCTTGTAATTTCTATTTGTTTAATTATTTTTTATAATTCTATTTATTATAATATTAAATGATTATAAAATTAAAAAACTTTTTTGTTGTAGGAATTTGATAATATAGAATGCGAATGGCCTTTATTTTATATATTTATGATTATTGATGGTGTTTTTAAAACTTTGCCAGAACAAGTAGAAGAATACCAAAAATTGTTAAAAGAAAGAATATATAAAGATATAAATGGAGGTATATTGAAAAATATATAAATATAGATTTAATTATAATGATATAGAATTATAAATATAATATATTTAATTTAATTTAATTTAATTAATAGATCCTGTAATACCTATGTATTATTATGTACCTGAGGAAAATTTAGAAGCAGAAAGAAATGATCCTGGTAGTACATATCGAGTTTCAAGCAATGAAGGCAAAGGTCAGAAAAGTTCTGCAGATGCAGAACTTGGACCCATGTATTTATGGAATCAAGCTATGTTTATAATTGCTCAATTACTTACTGCTAGTTTATTACATATTAATGAATTAGATCCAATTAGACGTTATCTTCCTTCATATAATAGACCACGAAAAGCTGGAAGATATTCAGCTTTTCAAGTAAGTAATAATGTAATTTAATTAGCATATTTATTAAAATATATTATAATTAGTTGCATAAATTATTTGATACATATTTGTTTTATGCAGGCTAAACCAAGTATTGTAAGTAAATAATATGTGTAGTATAGTATATTTTGCAGTATTTTTTTTTAATGCTTGACAATTAAATTTATAATAATTTTATAATTTTAATTAAATAATATTTATATATTTTAAGCTTTTAAATTAAACAAATATAATATATGCTTGAATAGTAAATTTATATTAAATTAATTGTAGTGTTAAATGTATACTATTTGTTTGATATTAATATCAAATTATTATGTTAATTGTTTATTATGTAAATATTTTAATAAATATACATTTAAAGCTGTTTAATAATATAGTGCATGAAGCTTGAATCAAAGCATGATTTATTTGATTATTTATTTTTTTAAAAATCTTCTTTGAATTTCAAATCTTTTAATTTTAGATATATTTAGAGATGAAAAAATTTAAATAATAATGTTAGCAATATATTCATATATTATTATAATGCATGATTTATCTATATATTATTATAAGATTTTTTTATATTAGGGTACTCATACTGATCTTGTAGTACAAATTGTTCTTATTGCTGAATCTATGAGATTACAAGCTATGATGGCAACATATGGTATTCAAACACAGACACCACATGAAGTAGAACCTGTACAAATATTATCATCTACACAATTGGTAAAAGTCTATGAAAAATTGGGAGTAAATACTAAATTAAATCTACAAGGTAGACCAGGAAGACCTATTGGATCTTTGGGTACAAGTAAGGTATGTTTAATATATAAAATAAAAATTTTATAAAAATCATCAATGTTTATTTTTTTATAGATCTATAGAGTATGTGGTATGACAGTACTCTGTTATCCCCTAATATTTGAAGTATCAGAATTTTATTTGTACAGAGATATGGCTTTATTAATTGATGACATTAAAACTGAGCTTCAGTTTGTAGGCAAATATTGGCGACTTTCAGGTCGACCCACTGTATGTCTTTTAATTAGAGAAGAACATATGAGGTATTTATTAATTTTATTAATTTTTAAAACAATTAATAATATATTAAAAAATAATTTATTAATATACATAATCTTTTACATAAACTTTTTATTTAGAGATCCACAATTTAAAGAAATGCTTGATCTTTTTGCTATGTTAAAAAAAGGATATTGCGATAAAACAAAAGTACGAATTGGTCGATTACAAAATCTCATTTCTTCTTCTTGTATTGGTAATTATTTAATATTTATATAACTATATCAATATTTATATCATTATTATCCATGTTAATATTTATTGTTAAATATTAATAGAGTTAAACTTTTTATGCTATAGAACATTTAGATTTTATAAATACTATAGAAACAGATCTTGAACTTAGTCAATTTAAGCAATTAGAACATGATTACATTGGATATCAAAGTTTAACGGATGTACCTAAAGCTTTAACTTATACAGAAGATACAAAAGATTATTCAGTAAGTATTTGTAAATAAATATTTTGTAATAAATAATCTATAAATATTTTTTTCTGTTTATTTTCATTATTTCATGTTTCAGTATTATATGAATGAACCATTGTATAATATATTAAATGAAATTCGTAACAATAAAAGCTTGTATAGTTTATGTCAACTTTATGGTATTTTATTAAAACGAGAAGGAATTAACTATGAAATTAATGGGATAACTGGTATTAAATTTACATTCTTTAGAAATAATATTATAAATTATTATTTAATAATATTATAAATAATTTGATTAATTTATTTTAATTAATTTCATTTTAGTTGAAGATCATTTAAGATCATTATATCAACAAGCAGGTTGTCTTAGATATTGGATGGTTGTTCGTTATTGTAGTAGTTTATTGCATCATACTGTTGATAGTATAAGTCCTTTTATAACTGGAGTTCTTGTTAAAGGGAAACAGGTATTTTGAATTAATTGAACGATTAATATAAATAATATTAAAATTTTTTTTATTAATAATTATTTAATATTAGATAACAGTTGGAGTAATTGGTCAAGAAGAAACAGTATTTGATAAACCAATGACACCTATAGAAATTCAATCAGTTATGTATTCTACAATTCAACCACATAATGTAGTTCAAACTGTACTTCAACAAGAAGTCTTATTATATTGTGGTCGACTTATTGGAACAAATCCAGAAATGTTTAAAGGAATATTAAAAATTCGTATTGGGTATATTCTTTTTTTGAAAATATTAAAACTTAATATTTATATTAATATTAAATACTTTTCATATTTATAGGTGGGTTTTAGAAGCAATAAATCTTTACTTACAAATGTTTGTTAAAAATATTAAACCAATTGAAAATTATAGTCCATATGAAATTCGACGATTTCTCATAAAAGTATTAACAGTTAAATACTGGGCTAAAGATGAAAAGTATATTAATTTATTTATACAATATTTAATTAAATATCTATTATATATATATATATATGTATATATAAAATATATATATGTATTTATATTAATATATTTTTTCTATATATTTGTATCAGACTTACAGTTTTAGGACGTAGGAAAATTGAAGGTTGTTTATGTAGAGTACCTGCACATTTTTATAATCACGTTTGGGAAGTATTAATGCGTTGTCCAGATGGTATTTGTGTTAATGGACGAGAATTACCTCAACAACCTACTTTGTCTAATATGACTCGTTCAGAACTTACATTTGCTTTATTTGTGGAATCTTTACTTCATAATATACAATTGCCAGAATATCGACAAATTATTGTAGAGGTAATTTTTTTTATTTGCTTATTTTATACATTTTTTAAAAACGCTAAAATTATAAAAATTTTTGAAATTTTATATTGTCTCTCTATCAAAATATAAATTAATTATGATTTTATTTATTCTTTAATTTTTATATTCACGGAAAAATATAAAAAAATATTATACATTTACACATATTATATATTTTATATTTATTTTATATATAATATGTATAAATGTATAATGTTTTTTTATAGTTACTCACTATAGTGTCAACAATTTTACTTCGAAATCCAGAATTAAGTTTTCAGAAACAATTAAATCTAAATAAACTCGTTGAAGATAGTTTCTTCATGTATTGTAAGGTATATATAATGTACAATTTTATACATACAATTTAATATACAGTTTTATACATAATTCAGTATCATTAATAATTGTATTCAAATTTTTTTTGTTTGTAGGATCATAATTTAGAAAAAAATGCTGATCAATCATTATTTTTTTCTGCTAATTATTCAATAACTACAGGATATCTTGCTAGAGCTGTAGTTAATAACATGCTTACTGGAGGATGTTTTGCAACTATTAATGATATCAATGATGCAATTGAAAATAGAGAAACTTGCAAGATCACATAATAAAAAAATGTAGTCTTTTATCATAATAAATTATTGTATAAATATATTAAAAGTTATATTAATATATAAAAATGTAGTATTTTCTTAATATATATATTTCTTCAATAAAAATTTATATATTGTTAGATATTGTCATATTATAAAAGTTATAAAATACACAGATATATATTAAAAGATATATATTTTTTTTATAGATTACATTTATAATTCTGTATTTACTAGAAATAGTTTGATGAAATTTACATAATTCTATAAATTTAGATCATTTAAAATCACCTTCTAGCGAAATTTATATCCATAGCTCCTCCAGATCGCTGTATATTATTTATATTAGCTTTAATTCTAGAGGCAACTGTACCTATATCTGCAGCAACTGCTAATTGTTTTCTAAGAAAATCTTGATTATATACTTTTCTATTATCTATTTCTTTTTTTTCTTCTTCACGATATTTTTTAACATTTTGTTCTCTTTCTTTATCTCTCCATGTTGCATTTGCTATCATTTCTTGCCTACGTTGTTCTTTTTCTTCTTCTGTAAGATTTTGTTTCTTTTTAAAATTCCATTTATCTCTATTTCTTTCTTCTTTGTAATATTTTTTAGTTCTATCAGAAGATAATTTAAAATATGTTTCTCTTTGATGTAATTTTTTTGAAATATTTTTATCTTTGTCCTCAATATTAGTTTTATCATTATATTTATTCTTAAAAGAATTATTTTTCCTATCTTGAGGACTTTTTAAACGAATTTTTTTGTCTCTATGTTTAGTTATGTCTTTTTTATATAATTTATCTTTCCTTTCTTGAATTGAACTATCATCACTTTCTCTGCTCAAACTACGAGTTCTAATATATTTTTCATGTAATTTATATTCTTTTTCTTTTTTATCATATATAGATTGTTTTTCCTCATTATATTTTGTAATTTGAACATTTATCTCTTTACTTTTATTTCTTTTTTTATATTTTTTTATATGTTTATTATTTTCACTTTTTTCACTACTTTCTGATCTATTACTTGAATCATCATTCTCTTCTTTTAGATTTCTTTTTTGTTTATGTTTTACCTTTTTCATTGATTTTATTAAATCTTTATTATTAATTTTTTCTTTTAATTGTTTATATTTAGTAGCTAATAATAGATCTAACTGTGCTTCATCATCACTATCTATATCTTGTCTATTTCTTTTTTTCTTTTTTTTCTTTTCACTTTTTATCTTTTTTTGTTTGCTGTTCCAACTAAAATTAATAATAATAATAATTAAATATTATTAATATTATTACTAAAATTACATTATAATATCATTATTGTATTAAATCAACATTATTGTTTATATACCAATTGTCTTAATTGTTTTAATTTAACAGGATTTTTTAATAATTGATTTCTTGTTTCCATCTCCTTTTTTTTAATAGCATATAAAGGATCTTCTTGCATTTTTCTTACTAAATCTACTTGTTCATTACCAGAAAAAAAACGTAATGATGGTGGAATACATTCTAAAATTACAAATTAATTATATATAAAACTATATATACTGATTATTAATTACTAATAATTTACAATATTATATACAAATATAAAGATTAATACCATGTTCAACATGATTTCTTGGTACTTGACTTAATTCAGTACCCTTTTCTACTTGAACCATTTGTTCAAAAGATTTATCAATTGGTCGTCCAAGTAAATATTCTTCTCTATTAACTAAATGATTTGGTCCTTTATACATCCAATCCAATTTTTTGTCATCTTTTTTTTCAATCACACCTTGTTCCATTGCATATTTTTTTATATCTTCTCGATCTTTTTCTATTTCTATTTCTTTTTTTAATTCAGCTATTTTTTTCTTTTCTTGACATTGTTGTTGTTCTGCTTTCCAAACTTTTTCTATGTTTTTCATAGTAGATGGATGCCATGATTTTTTTAAATTCTGTTATAAGTTTTATTAAGCAAAAATAGAATTATTACATTTTTATTTACTTCTAACCTAATATATTTTCATATCATTTAAAACTATGATTTATCTTACCAAATCTCCTCCACCCATTTTTAGTCGAACATAAGATGAGATTATTATTATAATAATTATTATTATTATAATAATATTTAAATTGATATATTTACTATTTTCTTATTACACGACATTTAAAATCAAAATAAAGCTACTTTCGTTTGGAGGAATGACAGTATTATTTCCTTATCGGTTCTTTGACATCATTTTTTGATACTGGCAACCATTTTGTCTCTAAATCTAGTAATTCTATGCATATTCGTATCGCTAGAAAAATACAGTAATAAAATTTAAAATGTTCAATGGCGCGATATTTAAGATTCACGTATTATTAAAAAATAAAGATAAGAATAGAGAAATTTATAAAAATTTTTATAAATTGTTAAAAAAATATAAATATATAAAACAAATTATATAATTTTATATATATTTTAATTATTATTTTTAATATTTTAATTTTATTTGTTTTAATTAAAACTTTTAAAAAATATTTAATTGTTTTTTACTTGTAAGTTATAACTTTATTACTACTTAAATAATTTTATAATATAAGTATATAATTATATGATTTTAAGTTATTTTTATTACTATTTATTACTATTAATTATAGATTATTTTCTATTAAATAATTCTAATATTTAATAAATTAAAATTTATAATTTATTTATTTTTGACTTAATATAACTTTAATATAACTTTTTCCAATAATCTAATTATGTAACATAAACTTGGGATAGAACTGTAGATAAACAATTTTTAAAATTTTATGTTTATAAAAAGTGATATTATTAAAGTCATGAATTATATAAAACTTTTATTTCAAGATAGTAAATCGAACATTAGTTTTTATACTTATTTAGAAGTTTTCTTAATGGTCAAGTTTCATCATATTCTGGGATACGACCTTGTAAATCAGAATGATTTAGACATTTGAAAATATATATCAAAGTATGACGTAGTAATATGAAATTGAACGTGAAATGAACGTATGTGTTTATTTAATTTAATTAAAAATTTTTTCACATGTGATGAGTAGTGTACATGAAAATTCGTGGTCGTGGATAGAGTATTTGGTGGAAACAATCAATAAACTTGCTCATGACTTAGCGAGCTCAACAACATTTGACTTATCATTTCATCCAATTAATAGTGTCATTGACGATGAATTACAGCAAAAATTATCTGAATTTTTTAACGATTTTATTGGTTTGGTAGCATTTGATGATTTTCAGTTGCAATTATTGAAAGTCTTCTTGTTTACATTTATTAGTACTGTGGCTTTAATTTTCATCGTTTGGCATATTTATGGTCCAAGAATTTCCGAACAATTTATGGAAACAAGTAAGAAAATTCATATTTTTATTTTTGTATATATATACATTTTGTATATACATTCACAATATAAAACTTGTACGAATTATTTTTGTATATAAATTTACAATAGTAATTCTCTATCTCTTTTTTTTGGGTATTTGTTTTTAATATTAATATTATTAAGATGAATAAATCTATTTTTAACACGATATCAAAATTAAATAATTTATAAAATATTTATATTTATATTTCATATAAGTTTGTGAAAAAAAAAATTAGAAGCATATACATTTATGTTATGCAAAAAAATCAACAATTCTTAGATAGATAATTTAAAAAAATATAAAAAAAATATAAATGTTTAATTTGTTTTGAAATATAATTTCATAAACAATAATAGTGATATTATATAATCTTATTAAATATAAATATATATAGACATTAACTTCGTATGCTATTATGAATAAATGTCCATGTTTTTATTTAAATTTTTATTATAAAAATTTTTTGCCAATTTCTAGTAAAATATCTAATTTAAAAAAAGAAATGAAAAAAATAGTCATCAAAATTTGAATTTTTCTAACAAAAACTTAATCTTCGAAGAAAATTTAGTCTTCATCACGTCATGATGTGGCGTGAGCTGTTTCTCGTAATAATAAAAGCATTTCGTTTTTATAAATTTTTATTACTAATGTCAATGATCTTATTTTGTTTTCAACTCTTTCCAAGTAAAAATTAATTTATTTTTGTTAAAAATCAAGTTCAAAGATAAAAAAATAAAGAAATATTTCATAATGTTCATTTCATGGTATTAGTAAATAATATTAAGTAATTAGAAAATAATTTTCTATGAATTTATAGTATCAAAATTATCACATTTTCGTATTTAAAATTTGAAATGTTTTAATATTAATGATATAATTTTTGTCATAGACTCTGCATCAGAAGATCTTGATTCTTCATCTGGAGAATAATTTGTTGCTTAATATAAATTATTTATTCAACTTGTAATTGTAAGTAAAATCAAATTATTTATAAATGTATTTATATGTAATATTATATAAATATATAATGAATTTTTATTCATTTTAGGTTAAGTTAAAAACAACAAAGTTATTAGTGAAAATAATTAAGAAAGTAAATTTTTATAAAATTAATTTGCTCTTTATAATCTTTCTTAACATTAAAAAATAACAATTATGACAGAAAAAATTAAATCACTTTTTGAAAAAGCAAAAATAGATGTAAAATTTATGAATGCTGGAAAAGGACACAAGTAAAGTTTATTGTAATATATTGTAATTAATTAATATTAATACAAAGGATATAAGTTTATAGATAATTTTACACAAAATTTAAATTTAATTTTAATACAAAATACAAGTTTTAAAAATTTTATTTCAAATATTCGTTGTCTTAATATATATTTTTTTTTGTTTATTCTTATAATTTTGTTAGTATTTTTACTATTTTTAGTAGTTTTTAATAAAAAAATAACTAAATTTTTAATCACATTATTAAATCTAGCTATAAGAATAGAAAAATATAAAAAATCAAACAAAATTTATTTTTTTATAGTTTAAAATAATTGAAACTTATAATCTTTGTTTTAATAATTATTTTAAAATTATATTATTATTTTATAAATATAATTTATTTTATAGTTGTTGTTTTATCAAATGATAGGAATCAAAGAAAACTTAATAAAAATTGTTATTGTATATCAATATTATTTTTTTTATTTTTTTTTTATTTAGTAATCATGTTATAAATATTGAATAGCAATAAAATTTTACATTAGAAAATAAAAATAAATTATAATTTATTTATTAATATAAAATTATTATAAAAAAATATATATAAAATATTTTTAATTTAATTTCCATAGTTGCAAAAATATCAAAATATATATAAAATTTTTTAAAATAAAATAATTATATTTATTAATTATGTAATAGAATTTCATAATTGTAATTATCTTTTATTTATTATCTATTATCATATAATCATAATTCAAAATTATTATTAGATTGACAGATTCAACTAGTACTTCTGGATCTACTTCTATAGTAGAACCCATAAAGAGGGTAGAACCTACGAAAGAAGCTAAAGTAGCTGGTCAAGCAGCTTTAGCAAGATTAGAAGCAAAAGAATGTAATACAAAAAGATTTAATACGTAAGTTGATTTTAAAAGGAGGAATTTTATTATTAATTTTAATATAATTATAATGGTAATTAAAAAATATTATAAAAATATATTATTGTAGATCATATGCAGCTATTAAGGCACAAGTAAAACGAGAATTAGAGCAAGAAAGAAAAGCACAACAAAAAGCACAACAAAAAAATCATGTGCAATCAGAAGAAAAAATTGAAAATACAATTAAAGATAATTTTACATTAGCTGTTACCAATGTATGCTATCGTTGTCCATATTTATCCGATGAAATATTATCACAAGATGAATGGAAAATAAAGATAAAAAAATTTTTATATGAACAATTGAAAGGAGAAGAAGCAGGTTTAACATCATGTTTAATTATACGAAATTGTAATAATAAAAAAGAAAAAGTTGATGTTTGTGTTGAAACACTTGGGAAATATTTAGAAAATATTATAAATTATCCAGAAGAAGAAAAGTATAAGAAGATTAGAATGCAAAATAAGATATTTCAAGTAATATTTTTATTTTATTGCTAAAATTTATAAAAAAAAGTATTTTATATAAAAACCTTCTATTCTTGTTTAATGAATACATTTTTTTTTATGAATATATACATATTAAAATTACGAAAAATTTTTTTGTTTATAATAAAACTATTGAATCAAATATATATTTAAATTATAATTTTATCAAAAAAAAATTACTAAAATATTTGTTTCAATCTTAATGAATTTTAAAATTATTTTAATTTTTATAATTAAATTATGATTTATTAATATTTTTTTTATTATAAAAATAAAATATATATTTAGAAAAAGGATAATAAAATAAAAACAAAATAATTAAAAAATAAATATGGAATTGAAGGTTTTTATTTTTTTTTATTTTATATTTGAAAATAGCTCTAAATTTTAAATGAAATCAATGTTTTAAAGGATAAAGTAATGCCAATTGAAGGCGCATTAGAATTTTTAAATGCAGCTGGTTTTCGTCAGAAAAAGATATTAAATAATGATAAAGAGGAGGATTTCTTAATTTGGAATGCTGATAATTGTAGTATTGAAGATGTTACAACGTTATTTGAGGCACTAAAAACTGCACAGCCTATTCCACTTGAACTAGATAGAAATCTTCAAGTATTGTTACCTATGCAAGCAAACACAAGAACTGAATTACCACCAAGCTTTTTCAATTTAAGTCCTGAGGATATAGAAAAAGAACAACAACTTCGGTAATTATATACTTATACCATAAGATTTTTAGATTAAATATAATAATTTATCAAACAAATTATATTAACTATCTTTCTTTATCAATATTAATAGAAGCGAAGCAGTTGAAAGAGATCAGATGTTAAGAACAAAAGCCATGAGAGAAAGAGATGAAAAACAAAAGCTTAGAAAATACAAATTCTCATTGATTCGTATCAAATTTCCAGATAATCTTATTTTACAAGGAACATTTTTTGTACATGAAACTTTTCAAAATGTTGTTAATTTTGTTAGCGAGAACTTGATAAATAATGAAAGGCCATTCAGTTTAAAAAAGCTTCCTCAAACAACTTTTAGTGAAGATACTTTTGATAAAACTTTACTTGAATTGGGGTTATTTCCTGCTACTCTTTTGATGTTTTTTTGGAAAAATAAATCAGAAGAAACAAATCTCAATGAATCTGTAGGATACTTGAAGGAAGAATTACTTTCTATGATTCAACCTGCTTAAAAAATTATTCTTTATATAATTTGAAAAAATCTTATTTAATCTTTATGAATTATGATTATAAATGTTGAAAGAGATAAAAATAAGTATCTCAACGCGACGTACTTTTTTTTTCATACAATAGAAACAATACGATAAAAAGCAGTTGTAATATATATATTCATTCCAAGTTCTAATGAAATATGAAATTACAGTAGAGCTCTGTGTAACGTAGAGATAATATGTTTTGTTTCCTTTTCTATTGTTCTTCGATATTTTTCAATAAAATTTATATGGTTGTTAGATTTAAATGTACTCTTTTGAAAGAAAAAAGAGTATTATTCAAAATTGCTTTCATAAGTAAAAATTTCATAAGTACATTACATTAGTTTAAAGACAGGAAATATATCTTAACACATTCACACTTTCTTATATCTATAATAATGTATCAGTGCAAAAATTATTAATTAAATTTATGCAATGATTGTTTTCAATTCATATTATATTCATATTTTAAATTCAATACTAGTCTTTTTATTTTTGTGACTAACAAATCATTGAAACATTAACTTTTCTATAATTTTCTTTTCTTTAATTTTCTATATAATTTTTTAAATATTTTTATTATTTATAATGACAAAATATTTAATGATAAATATGATGATAAAGATAATATATATTATTTATTTTTCCTTTCCTTATGCAAATTATGTTGAAAAGAAGAAGAAATTACAAATTGATTATATTAAACACTTTAAAACAGCATATATAAAAATCAATTGTGCTTCTTATTAAACTATTGAAATATTTTTTGTTAATTTTTCATTATATAAAAATGTATAAGATAAATGCTTTTCATTTAGTATATTAAATATAGAATATAAATAAAATTAGAAGAAAGAAAAATTATGATACTTTCAAATGAAATCTAAAAGTTTGAAATTTGTTTACTGTTTTTATATGGAGGTCTACTGTATTAATGATTGATTACATAAAAAAATTTATATAAAATTTTATATTTTATTATTATTTTTCTAATATCTATAAATATTAAATTTTATTATTTTTTTAAATTAAGTATTATATAAATAAATTTCCTGTTTAATAAATTTATAAATTTATTGTTATGCATCTTAATCTTATAAATTTGAATCTTAAATTATGAATAAAAAATAATGTCAGCTATTATTTTTTAATGTTTTTATAAGATAAAAACATATATATATATATATGTATATATATATATATATATATATATAATAC